ATAAGAATAAAATTCTGAAATGCAGTATTAATTATTTATTTTCATATTTACGAGTACATATCAAATTTAATGCACCATTAATTACATCATTAATTTCTTACCTTTAACAACGGAACTCGATAAGCAGACTCATAAAAATGTATGTCCTTTTAATTAGATTTTGTTTTATTTCTTACATTAATGTTAGTACACATAAATATATATTTATATATAATTTTTAAAGGAAACACTTTATGCCCGGTCGAGTCACGTGTCTTGCGTCCAACGCGATTTGATTCTGCGACTTGATGACAATCAATTACGCAAGACAATATTTTCCACATTCCGCCGTAGACTACGTCGCATAATTATAATGAAATATTGATATCTCCTTTGGGCCCATGGAGCAATATCACACGACATGTCGCCGGCGATTGCACCAATCTCGAAAAAAGTTTTATGATCTCCCGGGAAGACGAAAGTCCTCGGCTGATTTCTATCGCGGTAATATATTATTACTTCGCCCGAAAAGTCAATTCTCAACAATTATAAACATATATAGAGAACATGAAATTATATTATACAATAAAGTTATAAAGAATATTAACACTTACAAATAATATAAACCTTAAGGCAAAAGATACAGTCGTCGACACAGTAAAAGTGTCAGTTATTTATGTAATGCGTTTGGAACATAGGTGAAATGGTCTAATGAGAAAATTTATTTCCTAAGAATATATAGGACGTTTTTGAAACAAGCTCTCTCATAGGATCGTTCGCCTATGTTCCAAAATATAATGAAAAAATAAATCCTTGCACTGTATACAACAGAAAATTATACTTCTTTCAAATTATTTGCTATCTATCAAAACTCAGTCTTAAAACATAAACAGTTCTACAGAACATAAACAGGTATAAAGAATATAAACTAAGGCAGAAGGTACAGTCATGGACGATAATTCCTTAATTATTAGATAAGGCTTATTTCGCTATCTTTCTAATGCGTTTGTAACGTAGCTAAAGCGGGGTCTACAATAATATTTAAACTGTACGTTTCAAGTTTTAAGTAAGAAATACACCAATGACAGTTGAATTATAGACGAATAATTATGATTAGTCAATTTCTTACTTAAAGTTTAAAGTTTCAGTTTTCATTGTACATCCCGCTTAATAATGTAATGAGAGAATTGATCTACTACAGACGTTTTTAAAACAAGCTCTCTCATTGGACCATTCGCTTAGGTTCCAAAATATGTCGCGGAAATAGCGAACAATCTTTCCGTCCACGACCGTATATATAACAGAAAATAATACTTATTTTAAATTGTCTGCCATCTATCACTCAAAAGTCAGTCTTAAAACAATGTATGTGTAATAGAATGAATAAATAGAATTACTACGTATCATTTTCACGTGCTTCAAGTCTTTTCTTCTCCGCATCATATCGCTCTTTGGCCCTCTTGAGCCACTTCTGCATTGCCTTTTCCATTTCTAATTTTGTATAAGACGGATTAGAATGGTAAACGCCTGCATCTATCACAAAAGTAAATTATATATGAGCATAGATTCATGAATTTATTGTTTCCATGAATTATTTATACTTTATCAAATTTGAAAAGAATGTATTAATACAAAAATATATTTAATTATTAAATACTAATTAATAATTATTATTAAGCACTAAAATGCAATAAAAAACAAGTATTAAAGGAATAAGCCGTTATCGAGAAGAATATTTAGCATATATCGGTTTTGAACTATTAATACATGAAAGAATATATTTACTGAGTAACATTACTGCAATTCGAAGATTACAAAATTTCCTTTTTTGTTTAGCACCTAACCAACTGTACTGTTGTGCAATTTTGTTGCTAATTAATCGATCCATATTGCGTTTTATAAAATGGTAAGAAGATGTGCCTCCTATTGCACATGCTTCTGTACACTGCAACAAATAATATATTTTATTACAATGTTCAATTCGTATATCATAAAGAATGAAAAGATTGTACGATTTTGCAAAGAGCATAAATCTTACCGAGCGATCAAAATTATCTTGAATGTGTAAAAATTGTTCCACAGCTTGTTCTATATTTTCAATAGTTCTTAACGGTAAGTCAAAAGAAGAATAAATTGATCTTGCTTCTTGCTGCTGATTGCCGTTCATATTTTGTGTAGTCCGAATACTGGTTATTACAGTATCCTTTATTTCTTTCAAATCGTCTGCCATCTGCCATAACTGGGTCTTAAAAAAACTTTGCTGGCGAATGATTTCTTTAAAGTATTTTATATTATCTGTAAATAAATATATTTATTTTTCAAAGTGTTTCATACACAAAGTGAAATAAATTGGAACAATAAATTGGAACTTTCCAAAAAGATACATACCACAATTATCTGGAGTAGGTGAATGAAGAGTTTTACATAAGTTAGACTCATTGCGCACATTATTGTTGTTTCGTAAATCATGCGTTGGCGTATTCGACGTTTCTGTTGATATTTGGGATCCATTTGCGTGTATATTTAAATTCGTCTTCATATACATTGATTCTATAAAATAATGTATTATTATTGAAACAAATGTTTTAAGAATAGAATTTCAAGTTTTAGAGGAGAAAAGAAAAAAAAGAATAGAAGAACAAAATAAAAAAATTGAATAATAAGAAATACGTAAATTAAATAAGACATTTAAATTATAAATATTGCTTATTTGATTATATTTTAATGTAAACATATATATATATATAAAAGTTTATATATATACACATACACAGACACATACATACATACATATATACATATATACATACATACATACACACACACACACACACACACACACACACACACACACGCGTGCGCGCGCGCGCGCGCGCGCGCGCGCGCGTGTGTGTGTGTGTGTGTGTGTGTGTGTGTGTGTGTGTGTGTGT